AATTTCAATTCAATTTTTATCTACTCTGTATATTCTACGAGATTTTGATTTAGCCTACATAGAATTTGATTTAACATACTTCTCAAAAACTATTGAAAAAGCCTGTTGATGAAAGATTTTTCAAAAATTGAGGTGCTACACGGGGGTCAAGTTGGCACCACAGTATCTTAAATGTGTGTTGAAAATATTTTAGCAATAGGCTTTTTCAATAGTTCTTGAAAAGTTCTATACTTCCCGGCCTCGTTCTAAGTGTTGCTTTGGGACCAGCGGTGAGTAGCGGAGAACCTCTGCCCGCCAAGCTGCACGTTCGTGTTCACGTTTAGCTCGGCTACGACAGGATTCGCATTGTCGACGGAGGCGATAATCTCAATATCTTACTTCCAAACTCGCCGCTACGATTTAGCGCCATAATTTTCGTATCGCCTAAAACCGTAGCGTTGTGTTCTCCCTGCTCATCTCTGAAGAAAATTGGCCCTGGCGATCTCCCAACTTATCTTTGATGAATATGTTTGCCTGACCGGCTATGTAAATTGAACACAATAATCTTAATTCGTGTTTTCATTAGAAAACCTAGGTGAATAATCATACGGATTTCGCCTAACACTGTTCGTATTCGGTGTATAAACTCTGTGGGCCCTCACGCTCAGTTGTGTAAGGCCAACATCCAATCTTTATTAAGAGCAGTTACTGGCATGTCCCCCATTGAATATACAGCCATAAGGAAAGGAACGAAGACACGTGCAATAGACGATTGACAATCTTTGTATGTTTAAAGAAAAAGAAACTGTATTTCAAATTACCTCAGTATTACGTCAGTGTTAAAATTCGACATACACTGATGTCTGTTCAATTCAATAGCTTCTCTTGGCTATTTGCATAGTTCACCATGTGTAATTTGTACCTGTTTAAATCAAAATAAATCTGGCGGTTCGACTGGGATGGATACTATTTAATGTATCTAATTCATTTTGTATTTTTATTCCTTTATTAGTGTTTTGATTTTTCAAAGTGACATAATATTATACAATGGATAAATTGAAAGATCCTATCATTTGTGTACCAGGTTAGTTAGAATATTATCTAGAAACATGGTTAATCTGTATATCATGTAAAGTTAACATAATTGTTCATATTGATTAAATTTAGATGATATTCTTAATTGATATGCCATTAATTTCTTAAACTTTTTAAATTTATATGTTAACTGTATGTTGTGTTGACATCATTTTATATTTACTTCAACAATTTTACATAAACAGAATATACTGAAGAAGTTACGGTAAAAGATTGGAGTATGCTGATTCTGGAATACTAATTTCTTTGCAGGTCAGAGATTGTGTGTATCAGATAAAATTAATGTACCAGGACCAGGAACGTACGAACAGCATGGATACATCTATTCAAAACTTGCTGGTGTTGTTAAACTGGCAAAGAATGAAAATGTATGAGATTCAGATAATGCATTGAAGTGTTCTTCTGTTAGGATGTGTGCTAAACATATCTACGTATTTCAGGTTTGTACAATTGAAGTACACAGCATGACGGAGCAGAGTATTGTACCTGCACCAGGAGATATTGTGACAGCAATGGTGACAATAGTCAATCAAAGATTCTGCAAATGTGTAATTAAATGTATAGGTGATATTGTATTAACAAGACCCTACAGAGGTGTGTTACGGAAAGAAGATGTGAGGGCAACAGAAAAAGACAGAGTTGAAATGTACAAATCCTTTCGACCAGGAGATATTATTCTTGCTCGAGTTGTATCCTTAGATATAAACATAATATTTGATATTACATTATTCGAACATATAATTTCACATTCTATGAATTTTCCAATACAATATTTAGATGCCAATGATTGATGTTCACACTTACCAACTTTCCACAGCAGAGAATGAATTGGGTGTCGTTATAGCTTATAGTGAAGGAGGTAATATCATACATATGATTCTGTAAAAGTTTCAGAATCCAATGATATTTAGAAAAGTCATTTTTTTTATAGGTGCTTCCATGATACCAATTAGCTGGACACAAATGCAGTGCCCTAAAACATTGGCTGTCGAATTTCGCAAAGTGGCAAAAGTTATTCCAGAACAGATTGCTCTCGAATAATAAAGTGTTTGGTTAGTGAAACTAATCACAGGTGTTTATTTTTCTACTTATAATTTACAACTCTTGTAATATATGATATGAAGAAACCATACCTTTATTACCATTCCACATCAACAATCTTTAAATCTACAATTGGAAATTAACAATCTACAATTTTAAATCTACTCTAAATTTCACTAAATGATTACTGATATTTCACAAGGAACATTATATTCTCAATAACAAGTATTATCAAAGATATTATCATACCATAAATCAAAACTGAAAAAATTATTTCAACATGATATATAGTAACTGATATAAACTCAAATGTATCATATTGTCCGATTTTAGGTTGTATCCAACGATTCAACAGTAGATTGAAAAAACCAAATTCACGTAGTTTTCGTAATCTGCAACAAAAAATCTTTAGTTTTTATAAAGATACTAATCAAAATACATAAAATTGAAGAAGACGTGAATATAAATGATTAAATTCATTATTCATGAAACTTACCCTCTATTAAAGATACGTCGGTACTTATATCCTTTAGGCAATGCAGCTGCCATCCAATTTTCAAAGTATTTTTCACCAATTGGCTCTACGTTACAATTTCTTGTAAGCCAATCATCGTTGGCTTTAAATATAGCAAATTCCTTGGAATCCGAGCAAGTTAAATATATTTTTGAGTCAGAACGACTTATGAATGATACACGACGTTGATCTGATATCCAGCGGTAGATGTCTATTTTACGTAGCTAAATGAAACGAGGGAATGCTTTAATAAATGATACAAAATTTAATAAACTATATATCAAATACCTGAAAGGCTTGATATACTACTGAATTCTCAAAGGCTATGACTTTGTACGTAGTATCTGCATAAAGAGTTTCCAGATCGACGAAAGGTGGTATATACGACTTTTGAGTCATATGTGATGTCAGTTGAGAGCTGTATGCCAACAATATCAACACGGAAAACAGACTTATAGAAATTCTAAGGATTCTTGAACTTTCAAAATCGTCTGGAATATCGCCTGAATAAATTTGGATAAATAACTTTAAAGTATCTGATGTAGTCTACTTTACAAATCATTAATAAATGTAAAAACCTTGATTGCAGATTATAGCAAAATTGTAGAATAAATGATCTTTTGGTGGAAGATTCTCTTTCCTAGTTTTTGATATTCGGGACGAAAGTTTTCGAAAAAAATAATCAGTGCTAGTAAATACTATAAATATTATAAGTATGAGTGCCCAAACTTGCCAGTTGAATAACTGAAATAACCAAGTTTTGTTGACTTTAAAATGACGCCGAGTGTATAGCCTGAAACTGTTTATATATAGACTTAATAATTTTTTTTTTATATTCAGTCAATCACATGAGTTCACAAAATTTACTTCTGCTTATACATAGGCTCAGTGTACTCCAGGTAATCCCAATTATCTGCGAAAATAGATACTGCTAATAAAACATCAGTATTGTTATCACGTATATAGTCACTGTTAATTTCAATATTATTTCCATTATTTGACAAGACAATAGTAAATATTTCGGATTCAAGCTTTGTTAAAATCATCCTGAAAGCCCAAACAGTATTTCAAATTCTGTGCGCCTGACAAGAGGATTAAATTAATTTCAAAAATGTTCTCTTTCGTATCATACTCAAAATGAAGGTACTCTGAAAGAAGTGTCCAAATGTCTCCGATAGTTCCACTAATTTTAGTGTTATTATTATAAAACATAACTACGCCTTTCTGCTGAAAAGACAAACAATTTTTGAAAAAATTCATAGAAATTTCAGTTTCAAATTTAACGCACATCCAACTTACCTCATACCCCGAAACTCTTATGTTTGTACCATTAATGTCGTATTGTTCCAAATCATAATATTCACTGTGGCACGTGTTACCATTCATATTATGAATTTGCGAAAATATATCAATACTAGAAATTAATATGAATTCTTCTGCAGTAGAATTCCAGATAAGACCGCTTATAGGACAGGAAACACAGTGGTTCATACAAATTAACGCAAGAAGACTGACTGTTAAGAAATGATTCATGATAAATTCTTAAATTAAAAATTCGTTCTCAATAATTTAATCACTCTTTAGGAACTAATAAATGTATCAATGTGCATGCAGGACCTTTCCATATGAATATTCCGGATTAATTCCAAATGTCATGAGGCTTTATAGATTCTTTGAAATTGCACAATGATTTATCGTACATAATACTTTTACGCTGATTCCATCTCTTATTCGTGATCTATTTAGTAATGCACGCGTACAATTTTTTCCAACAATTTTCCATTTGGCGAATGTGAGTCGACACGCAACGAAACGTCCTGATAAAAATCTGTTGGATAATTTCTTTTATATAGTAATTTTAATTGCCGTGTAGATGAAGGGATATAATATACAAGGATATAACACAGGGTGTGGTAAACCAATATACAAAGGCGGTATATTTTACAAAAACATTAATTGTATATTATGTTTGATTGAATATATAAAGAACTTACGCGACTAATCGTTCGCTCGCCATTGAAATACTTCACATAAATTAGTTAAGCCTAATTTCTCGATAGCGACGAATCATCTAGGATGAATTTAGACGTGGGCAACGACACAGGAATCTATGGAAATACAATAATAATAATAATTAAGGAAGATAATCGACACCCTGGAGATTCGTCATACTTTATTTATTAAAGTCTTATTCGGGTTGTTCTCTATTATGTTGTTTCAAAAGTACACATTTTCTATTGCCTATTACGACCGATCGATATTATCCATGAAAGATTCTGAAATCTTCGAATACCGACAACCAGTAATCGCCATTGTCGGTTACTTTTTACTTTTCCGTCAGCGAGAAATTGACTTGCGATTTTCGCTATAAAAAATTATAAAAAGTATCCAACACGCATTGCCCTATTTCTCGCATTTTCATCATTTTGTTTATTCGCTCGCTTCGTGCGCCTTATAAATCGGAGTTTGTTTCTTAATGATTAATGTTCACTCTAATAATTTTTAGGGCAGGCGTGAAATCCATCTAATGGTCGTTGGAGTGCTTCTCCTGCTACTTCGTTTAAAACGATAATATACTTGAAGAAATAAACGGACGAGCGTGGATTATCACGTCTGCCCTTTTTATGCTCCATACACATATTCTTTTTATGGCGTTGCATTATTTATACATACATTTTGGGAAGCAACAATCTCATGATGAAACAATCTAGGTAGGGAGAAACCATTTATTTGGATTGGTATTGTAATTCATAGGAATAAGATTAATGATTAATGTCTTTGTATGCGTGCAGATATTGCATTAACTGATTATGAAATGAAATGTATAATTTTTAAGTCTTTTTTGCAAATTTTGCATTTGTTATTGGCAGTGAACCTATTCGTTCTTTCGTTACCGTGGTCACACTTGATGCTACATTTCTCATATGAATGTTGGAAAATATTAGTCTAATTATTTAATAGCGTTGTGTTGTTTTTTTGAAACTTATTGCAAACAAGACTATGCCGTTTATTGGTTTTTAATATTTTTATAGTGAATATCATTGGACACACAGGATTCTTTCAATGGTATTGTACAGCAATCTGTTTGTTTGCAATGTTCGTTTTTTGGAATAACCAGATTAAATGCGATTCGTACAAAAGATCTTGTAATATATTACTGATTAGTGTCAATTATTTTGCGTAGATTTATGACGCTCACGAAATTGTTATGCCTACAAATATAAAAAGACACTCGCTTCGATTCTCACGTCACTACGTATCTCTGCTATGAAATCTCGTAAAATCCTTACTAGAGACACGTAGTCGTATTAATAGAATTTGTATAGCAATTTTCTCAAAACAGAAAACTACAGCCAATTGATTTTGAATCGGTAAACAATTACAGTCGTCGAGTACCTGACGTCCTAAATATGCGGTACCACATACCTATATAAAAAAAATGGTAAACTCTTCAACTTGTAAATTCTTTAAAAAAAGAAAAAAATTAAAACATGTACCAATAAATATCGTGGAATACGTGCGTTCAGTCGAAAATTACAGGAAGAAACAATACAACTTATATGATAACTAAAATTAAAAAAAAGGAACGCTATCACCTTCTCTAACGCACAATCGCGCGTTAACACGAAAGTGAAACGCATAGACTAAGAAGTAAAACATTTTCCTTGGAACAGAGTGTGTATAAAGTATGCATATCCTATTCAAAATAAATAATACACTTAAATACCATAATTAGGTACTTTAAACTAAGTACCTATATTTTCAAATCAATCTCGTTTTTTATCTGCTTGAAACAGAATATAGAGAAAATATATAATAACCATCACTTCGGGGTAATCCTCCAGCATTCTCTGGACTTCCAATAATGAACCACTCTTTAATACTCATAACTCACAGTACCATGATCCATTGAAGGAAAAAAATATATAAGTAAAAAAGACGTCATCATTAACCGGAACTGTGACTTTCTCAAAAAGTTTCACCAAAGGATGAAGTTCTGAGGAAAAATACCCTTCATCCAAAAAGAAAGAAAAACCCAACAGGATCATGAATATTGAACTTCCGGGAAGTCCTATCCTCTTGACCGATCTCGATGGAGAAAGATATAAAGTGCTACGAACGAACGTAATGTTTCTAGCAAAAATATAAATGCATTTTATCGAATCGAGCACTATTCTGTTTCCAAAGGATAAGGAGGACATCTTTCAGAGAGTCCACACTGTCTTAGCTCTCGATTGCAGAAATCTATGCTGCCATCTATGTCAGTACTTTTCTGAAAAATCTTATGATATACCAGGACATTATGGATCCCGTTTCGAAACTCTTGTTTCCGTCATGACTTTACTGGGATCCGGTAACCTCACTACCAACTGTGCACCATTTTGCATAGGTCTGGTACCATTTGGCGGATTAGTTTTGGGTATCGGCTGGGGAACCGATGGTAGTACTTTCTTTGCACCGCTTAATTTCGGCGAACAGCATAGTTTGTCATTGTAATCATTTAAATTAACATTTGCTGTCGTGTTTTGATAACCTACTGTTTTTATAGGTGTACTGTGCTCACCATAATTACAGGTTCTCTGATCCATTGCAGAATTTGAATTTTGAAAGTTCGGTGGTAGCATCTTAATGGAACTACTGTGATCATTTACACTGCAGATATTGGGATCCATGTTAATCTTGAAAGTAGTGTCTTTCCGGTTCAGTGAATCGGTTTTGTAGATTGGAGCCGATAGTTGTGTTGAGTTTGTCTTGTTAGTGCTTTTATGGCTACTTCCTGAGTAGCTGGTAACCGAGTCATTGCAGAAGTCACTTAGGTACGTTTGATTCGTATACCAGTTGTGTAGTCTATGATGAATTTCTGGGAACTGCGGCCTCCGATTTACTACTTCGTGCCAGCATTCGATCATTAAACTGTAAATCATTGTTGGACAATCCTCAGGACATGGTAAGAGTTGCCTCGAGCGGATCATGTCAATGACCTCCTGGTTATTGTATCCATAATACGGCTATAAATATAAAGACAATAATTAGGACAAAGTTTAATTACTTTATATCTTGTGCAATACAATTGTTCTTTAAATTACTTGTAAACCATAGCTGTAAATTTCCCAGAGGACTACACCAAAACTCCAGACATCAGATTCCGTTGTGAATTTCCCATAGAGGATGGATTCTGGTGGCATCCAACGTACAGGTAACAAACTTTTCGACTGCACTCTATAATAGTCGCTGCTGTATATGTCACGCGATAATCCAAAATCTGATATTTTCACAGTCAAATTTTCGCCAACAAGACAATTCCTTGCTGCTAGGTCACGATGCACATAATGGTGGCCGGCTAGGTACTCCATACCTGAATACATTAAAAATTATATTTATTATGAATAATTTAAAATAAATAATCGCATTGTACCCATATCCTACCTGATGCGATTTGCAATGCAATATGTAAAAATTCAGGCTGCTCTAATACTTTTCCAGTTCCATTACTCAAAGGTACATCAGATCTTGGCGAGTGGCATATTAGAAATTCGTGCAAGTCTCCTTGTGTCATATATTCAAAAAGCATACACATGGGTTCACCTTTCAAGATAACCCCAAGCAAACAGATTATGTTAGGGTGTCTAAGGTCAGTCATAAGATCCACTTCTCTTTTGAAATCACTTTGAGTTTTCGGACTTGCATTTTCTTTGAGAGTTTTCACCGCGACGAAGATTGGGGCCTCGGTTTTGTTTCCGCTTTGTAACTCTCCTTTGTAGACTTTTCCTGTAAGATGGCGTAACAGACATGCGTTCTTGAATAATGCCAGAGGAAAATTAAATGAGTTATGAAATAGTTGGAACTTTATATTATGATAGAAAATGATTTTAGTTTTTACCAAAGGCTCCTTCTCCGAGCTCCTGAATAAATACGACGTTATTCACTGTAAATTGTGGGACGCGATTATTGGACGTTCTACTACTTCCGCTACTTAGTGTTCCGGTTCCAGGAGTTGTGGCTCCCGGACCTGCTAGGAGGGAACTCATCTCCATTGGTTGAGTTGTACTGCGTCTTCCGTCATAAATATTTTTGTCACACTGCATCCCAGTCAATATCTATTATTGAAATTGTATTTGTACTGACAACATAACTCCGTTTACTTTACTCGGATATTGAAATTTACCTTATTAGATGGCAAATGATTTGTTTGTCTTCGAGACTTTCGACTTTTGTAGCAACAACAATAACAGATTAAAATTATAACAAATCCTCCGGTTAATACAACTCCAACCACGGCATAGATCCATAAGTTTTCTACTACAAATAGAAAGAATGAAAATTAAGTTAGTGTTACAGTCTATAAATGGCTCACGTCCACTATTTAATGCTTAGATTCAAGTATATTTTAGCTTACCACATTTAGGTATATTACAATATTCTTGTTGCATTCTGTTATTAGCATCGACATAACACCATGGCTGGGCTTCCTTGCCACCGGGATTTCTACAATAGGAATGCCACCCAGCTAGCTCAGGATAATCAGAAATTTGTAGATTGAATTCATGAGACCATCGTAAACATGGGCGGCCATTAGCGCTAGTCTTGGCAACACCACGGTAAGATTTGCCGCTGCCCCAATAGCAATAATCATCTGTCAATAATTAAAAGATCAACATTTAGTTCATGTAAAGTTTCATATGAATATTTCATATATCTTCAATGCATTAGAATCGTTGAAGTGTCCGTATTGAAAAGAAAAATTAAACTTACTTTCTTGCACATTTTCAGTAGAGATTCCAAGACTCAGACAATCGGCAGCCTCAATACTATCATCTGCAGGTAAATCAGAACATTCTACCAATGGTAATATTTGTCCAATGTCCGGATGCCGCTTAGCAATTGCGTATTCCTTGCGACAAAGTTCGTTCTCCAACATTTCGCACTCCTGACGACATATTCGTCGAAGTTTTCGGTTCATTCCATTTTTTCCGGCTGATCGTGAATCCCCGTAACTTTGACTAATGATTTTCCGATTAGGTCCGTTTCCATCCTTGTCAAGAGTGAATTCAAAATTCGAGGCACCAAATTTGGCACTACGTTTCTGTGGAAGACCATGCGTTCGTGCGAAATCGTCCAGACTGTCTTCGCCGTCCGTTTCATCAGGTCGCAGGCGATCATCCTGATTTGCGTTGAGTAGGTTGAAAAGTTGCGTGCTAGCTTCGGAATTCTTTGGTTTTTGCATTTTCGGTGGGTCCCGACATATTGGGAAGACGGAGTAGCATAAGGATGGTTTAGCATAACCCTCGCAGTTCGACGAAAGTTCACTGAAAATTATAACATATAGTCTGCTATCCTTGTTACTCTGTACTTTATTGTGTATTCTCATCTGAAGGAAGACTGATACACTTTTTATAGAAATTAATATAAATCTAGACATTTATTTGTGTTTTGTACACTTGATATCTGGATAAATACAAAGATGCAATTTATTGTATCTTAAATCGTCGCACTATTAAAGAATGATAAGAATGTTGCCTGGGAATTGGAATATATTATCGCACAACATAGAAGTTTATAAGTAACGTTAACAACCGCAATAATTGAAAACAAAATATACTTACTTTGAAAAATTAATGACTCCAAATGCTCGCATAAGTTTATTCTCCAGCAGTTTTTGTGTCATAGGATGAGGAATATAAACAGACTGATTCCCAAGAAATTGGGCGCAAATTTTGCCTACATACACCTGGACGTACAATACAAAGGGTTGTAAAACATAATCAACTGATGGCATCTACTGTCTCCAGTACTAAATTGAAAGTTTACCTCGCATGTTCCTTCTTGATTGTCTTTACGTCCAGGCATTGAGTTTGCTCCTGGAAGTCCGGCAAAGCTGGTCATGCCAGGTGGCAATTGAATATTGACATTACTAAGGCCACTGAGTGCAGTAAGGTCAACAGTGCTTGATTGCGAGCTTGTTGGCTGAGGACTTGGTGATAATATGCTAAGTGGATTCGTTGGAGATAAATGTGAAATGTGCGGAGTCGATACTCCAATCCCTGAGATGTCCAAATTGTCTCCATCTGCAGTGCTATAATAAGAAAATTTAAAATATAGTTTGGAGCATATACTAATATATGTAATATATCTAGCTCCAAATAGCAAATAAAACCTAATAACTTTGACGATGGTTAATCGCCAAACTTATTTAATGTAATCTTTCATTCAGAAAAACGAATATACACACAAATCTTTATGTTTTTACAGCATAAAATACCAAAGCTTTTCAACAGTAAGAGAACAACATATTTTTAATGTAGCATAACCTCTTGAGCAGTAAATACAAAAGATTTAATAATAGTAAACATAGTCCACCAAAAAAACTTAGTTGAAATAAATTAATAAAGTTGAATTAGAAATAAAATTTTATGTCAAAATTGTTGAAAAATAGAAATGTACACAGAGAAATCTGTCTATCCCATTGATATAACCTGACGCAAAACGTCAACACAAAGTGCACCACCTTGTCTCAACAATATCCGTAACATATTCAATGCTCTTTTTCTTAGCTTGTATAAAAATACACAAATTTTGCAACAATACTAGGTACACGAGTAGCCTCATAATCATAAAAATACTATCAAAACATTGAATTTCAACATAAAAGCCAGCGTCATTTAACATAACATCTAGTGGCCATTTGTAAACTGCGCTTCCATTTCCATCTAACATACTAGCCGAGAACTATGCTATCTGCTCCAACATAATCCCATCATGTTTTGTGCTGGTAACTGTAGATGTGCTCAAACAGTTCAAAGAGTTCTTCACTGACTTTTAAAAGATATTCCTACCGCGTGACACTAGAAACGTATGTATGGAGCGAATGCTAAACCAAGAGGCAGTTGTAAAAGAAGCAGAGGACAAAGGTAAAAGCCCCGAGGAGCGTTACCCGGCTCGTAAAACTACAATTCCTGTAACGTTTAGTGATTTTATGATTACCCGTCAAGAAGCTCTGGAAAATGAGCGATCATCGGCGAGTAACTATCAGCATCGGCACCAGGGTTAACTATCCGGCCACCTGAAAGGAAACAAGAAGATCAATTATGTGAAACAGTTTGGATGCAAATTTGTTCATCTTATATAGTGAGATATAAAGTTTGCTGAGGTATCGTGATGTCTTCTTTACGCCTCAAGCAATTACGGGTAAGGTATACATACTACCAAATTTAGTAATCGCCTCTAATGAGCCCTCTAATGAAATTAAATTCGCAGCACCATTTTCAGGCTTTGCTAACGACTGGCCATAGAATATAAATAATAGAGATTGATGAGCATAATTTTCCTTATATATTTACTGACTCCCAGACAGTTTTAGAACGTCTCTATTGCTCTCGTACAATTAGCTTCTCACAGATAAATATATATTTTACACCGGCTATCTTGATTTTAGTTAACCCAATGCTAAGTATCATTCCTCAATAAATTGTATGGTTCGTTCTCATCAAATGGTTCTTTCTTAGCTTTATTAGGGTGCACTGGACTTATAACTTATAAGTAATGACACAGTAATATCAAAAAAAAAAAAAAAAGAAAGCAAGCGCGTGTAAATTAAATCTTTTTCTATCCTGAGACTCTTTTGAAGAGTCTCATTTTATACAAGAAACACGTCGCACCCGGTTTTTTCTAAAAAAAAATCGACATCTCTCGCGCATTCATATTTATTACTTATTTTCAGCAGCGCTTCCACGATCCTTTATGTAAACAGAATTTCAGAGAGTCAAAGGTGTCGAAAGGGAACACGCCTGGCTGCAAGAGTCGAAATTCTCCTGAAATTTTTTTTCTTTAGTGACTCGACTCAGTTTCGACGCTTCTCTTTACTAGCGCGAAGGTGACAAATTGCGGATAAACTTTTATATCTCACACTTTACAGTAGCAGCACAGTGAGAGAAGCCTTGGAATTTCGATGAACTCGAGTTCATCCGACGTCCTAGAAAAACTTGGGAAAACTCGATAAAATTAAAGTCGAGAAATATCAGAGATGTCGTACATTATCCAAGAAGGATGTACCATTCTTCTCCACTGGTGACTTTAAAGGAACGACGATCCTCTGGGTCAGACAGAAGTTGACTCCACGATGAAATATACGACTTCTATAAGCGGCTAAAAATAAGAGCGTAGAAATCGAGCATAGATCTCAATTGATCTTGTTGCTTAGCCAACTGATAGTAAGAACTCCTTAAGTGTCTCCTCGTTATCCAGCCGGTTCGCATTACATTGAGACGTTTGGTGAAGTCGTGCAATAAAATCGTATCTTGACTCGTGACTCCTTTCTCACTACGTAAAACAAATGTTTTTCTTGCACGAGAAAAACTACGGAGACACTTTATCACCCGGTTAAAGTCCTCCCGTTTGTTTGCAACTTTGGCAGGCACTCCTACTGGAAGAATCGCCCCACGGCAAAGATTCGATCGATCGATATTCCTGAATGAGATTCGAGGGAGATTCCACGTATTAATAACGAGACGTATCTCGTCTCCTGAGGCAATTCGAACGAAGATGAAAGACCATCGGATTCATTGGATGTTTTCAAAATGATCCGAATGCCGTTGAAAAAAATTTAAATTTAAAAATCTTCCCACTCGAGCACAGACCTTTGATTCTTCCGCTATGAGTTTTGCAGGCAAAATTTCATGAGTCCCGTTTTTCTCGTGCTCCCCCTTATTTTTCCTACAACTCAATTTAAATATAATATCGTACAGAATTCGCCCACGATCCATCGCCCTTTGTCCTCGGTACTATGTTAATTCAATGGTAAATAATCGATTCGTCATCTTCCTCCTCAATTTCTAGACACTCAGAATAAAACTTCTAGAGCAAACACATCCTTCATGCCGGCTACGAAGCAAACAAACGTAAAAAGATACCCTAACCTTAGTATTTGTATGGTAAACCATTTTTTTTTTTCATCATGCAATTCGTACAATGCCGATACGCAGTCATATATGCTATTACACGGTAGCAGGTTGTTGCGAAAAAAAAGTTTTTACGTTCTGCTTTACTCATTTATTGTTATCCAACTTTGTCTTTGTTCTTGTGCAAAGGCGTGTCCGCCAGCGGGAAAGACGTCATTGTAATATAGTTCGGGACAAAAATGTAATGGGGGGTAGGTTGGCAAGCTTGTCAAGTACATTTCAAAGGAACTTTTATTTACTTTGTATTTCCGTGATTCACTGCAGGAGATGCAGAAGAAATAGACTGCAGTCCACCCTCCCTAGCGAAGCTACTGGGGTAGATTCAGATTTCTGATATTATTTGCTTTGTGCCACTGTTAGAGCTTCGCGGACTTCCTCGTATAGTACCTACGTATATCTTATACACGTACAAAGTAAATATCGAGGGTGTCTCCCCGAAAACCAATTCAACCACAATAAAGCCCTATGATTATTGTGCAAAATTACTTTTTTTCTTCTAAAGACTTACAGACACCCTATAAGGAATACAGGACGAGATACTTTTGATCTTTTTTGTTGGTAATTTTCTTTAAATTTTCTTCCCTCTCGCCCTACACAATATTGTTACACGTTACCGAGTATCTCGCTGTAGTAAATCCCTCTTGGATTTGAAAAAATGACTTAGCAGAAAAAAAGAGGGAAATTTCAACTTTGAGTACAACCTTGTATACATATGTTAGTCACTCAGGCAAAATGATATTTCCATTTGAATTGTTACACATATATATACATACATTTATCCAATTCCATGGTTTAACCCTTGTATTACGTATGTAGGCTTGTCCAGCTGGAAACACCGTCTTATCTTCATCATTATATTCCCGACTAAATGCTTTTATCAATTATCATAATTCGGTGCGTCCTCATTTACGTGTCCGTCGATCTAATCGGAACTGAAGGCGACTCGTAAACGAGGGACCATTTGTAGCCGTCCTTCGTTCCTTTAACAAATTCTCCCTTAATTCCTCAGAAGCATCTCGATGCTACCGGTTCGGGCTATTTAACATTTTTTCTCCATTCTTTTCCTATATACTCGATCAATTAGCGTTTCTCAAAGTGATTACAAGAACTGGTTTCAGAAAAAGATACAGATAATCAGCTACTAAAAAGGAATCGTTGACCAAACGTTAATAGGAAGAATATCGTTAGTTCAGGATAAACGTAAATTCGCAATTAGTACTGGACAACTATTAATTTCAATTCCACCCCGTTATATGAATCAACCGGAAATCCAAGTCGTGTCCTCGACAAATGTCCACATGTACTTCCGGTTGTAGGAGTTGGGTCGTACGAAACACCTCCCCGAAAACTTCATTCATGTCGAACGATAAATTCGCATACATAGAAGCAGCCACAACGTTGTCGCGGATATAGCGTTCGGCATCGACTTCGTTGGCAGCCCACGTATTATGTATCTCAAACAGGAAGTGCAAAAGATAAGGGAGCCTGGGGTCATTAATAACTCCCCTTCCCAAACCCAAGACCCACTCCTGGTTAATTCTCCTACTACTCGAATACTCGCGATACGGGCACGCTTATTGTGCACTATGTAGCACATATTACAGCATTGGGCGTGATCGAGGGTTCCTTACGTAGGAACCATTCAAGGTTGCTAATGCGTTTCTGAATGAATCGACTTTTCCCTGATACGAGAGTAGCGCTGACTAAGTGTATACACGTACATCGCTTATACGATTCTTGCTACGTTACTTATGCACGACTCAAATATTCATATTGTTAAATATATTTTTACGAAATTCTTAATTTTTCCTCAGATCCATTTCCACGGGTGCGCCGCGAGGAGAAAGGAAACGGCAAAATCTTCTGGCAAAAGACATTGAAAATATTTGTTGCTGTCGCAGCATACATCAGATACGCACAATGGCCGCGGCTCATTCTCAAGCGTTTGATTTTAATATTCACTGGACGTCTCATCAATCTTGGTCAAATAGGCCAGTACTTTAGCGGTCGCGACGCCCGCGCATGCCTAGCTGTCTGTAATGTATTATTCATAAGGGTGGCTTGGTAAGTGTTGTCTCAAATTCAATCCAATAGTGCATGCACGCGAAGCTCCACGCACGTGATTCCGTCTGCTCCCGCTGGTGAGCGGACACTTAAGAGAAGCGGCATTTATTTTATTTTTATTTACTTTTTTCTCCATAGGCTCTTCCTCCGACTTTCTGCTGTCTGCGATAAGTGCGATCTGCATAATCGAATTGACGGGGGTATCGATCGACTACCGCCTTAACGAATTCCCTGCAATAGTGTTACCGATGTCCTGCTTATCATTCTGACAGAGCAGCGTTCTCCTGGTAGCACGTTGCCTTCTGTTACGTATGTTACTCCTAGTTTAATGTGAAATTGAATAGGCATCTGCGCATGCGCCCAAGTCAAAAGGATAAACGCCAATCTATACGATGGGTCGAACGAGGATTTAATATTTTCTGGAGAGTAAATTATAGCGATTTTAATCTCTCCGTAGGGATTAGGTATTTCCTGTTTTCTCATATTGCGACTGGATCATCTAGTTCCTGATAGGTGGTCGCAGCTGCATAGGCGGTTGACGCATGTGCATAGGGGGAGGTAAGAGGGACGAATGGGAAGCTACTAGTGTGGCGTCTAGCGGAATTATAATTTCATGTAATTCCGCTAATGGGGATTAGCTAGCGGGTGGGCATAAAATAATATTAAGCGAAACACCCTAGGCCGCAATGTAGGTTTATAACGTAATCCGCTTTAATCCTCGTTGGGGATTATTTTGCATGGCAAACACTCACCCCTCGTTGGATGGCCAACGTTGAAAGTCCTAAGGGAGATCCTCGAGTTTGCAAGAATATCAGGTGCGTAATATGCCTGTGAAAAGTGTAATAGGCAGACGTGGAAAGTGCAGCGGGAATTTTTGAGGCGTTTCGAAATTTTTTGGTCGAACTGTGCAATTTCTGTAATAACATTGTCACGCTCCAACTACGGGCTAAGTACCGTCCGATGCAGATAAACGTCAAGTTATTATAACGTTCCTGCGACGGGGGTGCAGACGTCATTCCCAGCGTCGGTTCGTGGTGTTTTCGCGCACGAGCTAGCAGTTGTGCTTCATGCTGGTTGCCAAATAATTTTGGGGCTCTATTCATTTTGAAAAGTCACAACGATCACCGGCTGGTGGTTTGTTCGGTTGGTTACCAGGTTGGTTAACATAACCTCGCAACTTTCGTCTTTGACATTCCTATTGGTACCATTTGCATCTCTGCAACAGTCGCCGTCGTGTTCAGGAGGATTGACCTGACGCGTCAGGCATGGCCAAAATAATGGTGAAGGAGAAATACTGCAATCTAAGGTAAAAAGAAAACTGAATTTTCTAGAAAACCGCTTTCTTTACGGTCGCTAAGCTTCACTTATTTTTTAAACGTTAAATCAACAGATTCTACAAGACGCTGTCGGGTTCCATCGATCGCGTCAAGAATTCGAAGATAGTTCCCGAAGTTTCGGCTCAAGGAAAACATTGTCAGCATCCGACGAAGGGACTGCTAAAGAATTCTCTCCGGTAATTGGAAACACGCTCGAGCGCCAACTCTCGATAAACTCTCGTTAATCTTCTGGATAACGAATTAATCGGTAGCAGCTTCAAGTTGTTCGATCAATTTCTTGAATAAGCAATATGGATACGGCGAAGCTTAGCTGTCGCTAGAATTTTCCAAGCTATTCCTACAAAGAGTGCCACGTATATCATACGTATGTATAGTATACGATTATTTAACATTATCGAAGCATCGTTCAATAAATACACCATGTAGATATAGTCTGGACGCATTTCATTGGCGAATTTGAATCTGTCATACAGTCGATAGATAGTTACTCACATTGCCGGAGGCTACGTTTAATAAATACACGAGTCGTGGCTGCATAGTTTAAACACACGAGCGAGTCACCATTACGTACAGCGGTGCGTACGTGCGTGGGATAATCCAAAATGTAGATAGGTTCCCTTGCATTTCCCCATTTATGAGCTTTCCCGTTTTGTGGTTTGGTCCAAAACGTTCATTTCTCCCATGCAAAACAAATGATAAAAAAAACATTTCAAATGGCGGGTGAATTTTCGCATCTACATCTACGTACAGGATCGACGGGTAAAAGAGTTTCTCTGAATCGACTATAGCTGGAGAAAAGTATTGATATACGTATAAAGCATGAATGGATCTATGGATCTTCCGGTGAGAAATTATGATCGAGCGTGAAATTTGTGAGGAACGTTCCAGAGGATGTTCAGTGCATTACCTAAGTAGATTAGATAGCACTAGGTGCAGTTCAGTTCGGTAGAGTTTCGAGTCGGCATGGTAACGACCAACGGAAGTCCTTCCTCCCGCATTCGTATCTCTGCGGAACAGAATTGAGCATGAGCTTTCCGCACTGACAATGAAGCGTTTCTCAAGAATTCAAGCCGGAAATGCAAATGGCAGGGCTGCTAGGTTATTCACGATGCGGCGCCGTAGGCCTTTAATCTCAGATTCTACAGGCGCGTACGCAGTACAGAAGAGACGAAGGACCGCCAACGTCAAGAAGATCGGTCCAGCAGTTTTTCACAGAAGAAACTCGAGCTCTTCGCAGATAACTTTAAGAGAGAGAGAGAGAGAGAGAGAGAGAGAGAGAGAGAGAGAGAGAGAGGAAGAGGAAAGGAAAAGAGATGAAAGAGAAGATGAACAGTTATACATCTTATCGTTCTTTGTTATTATTTCTTATTTTTTATTTTAATCTCGCCACCCTACCAATCTCCAGCCCAAAGACTAGTCCGCGTGAAAACCCATTTTGTTCCTTGCCCAAAAACAAAATAGCGGTCCTAGATATAATTTTCTCGTGAATTCTTAATAAGCGAAGCCGAAGGAACCGTTTCGCCGGTTAAGGCGAAACAAAATATCTGTTCGTTCTTATCTGCGAGAGTGGAAGAGGCTGGCTGAACTCTCGACCGTTACGAAAAAAAAAAAAAAAAAAAAAAAAA